AATTGTTATCAAAATCGACACAGAGGCATAATTCAATACAGGGTATATTATTTTATGTATTATTCTACATTTTGTTAGAGGGGGCACGACGTGAATGAAAATATGATATATACATCATTTTTTTTTTTACGTAATATTGGTACTCCTGTTTGAACACGATATTTTCATCCGTTTTCGAGAAAAAAAGCAACTGAACTCAAAGTTCAAAGACTCGAAAAGGGATTTTAAATATTATTTTTTTGCAACGACACAAAAGTCGTCCATTTTAATACCAAAATTAGCTCTTGAACTAACGATTCCATTTCTGACACAAAAGTAGGTATGTTTCTAGGCAACACATTTAGTTCCTAGGAGCTAAAGTTGAACTTTAGTTCCTAGGAGCTAAAGTTGAAGTAACCACCAATACCGTGCCATATGTATGCAATGCAACAAATATTGACAAATAATCCGTGCGGTGAGAATATATTACCTGCATTAACAGCAGGTTTATTCAATTTTTCAATTTTCAAGGATGTTCGAATTGTAGTTTCAATATGAATACAACCACAGAGTGACATATTTGTGTATGGAACAGGTGCTCTAATGGCAAATACCGCGCAAGTGCCAGCTATATAGGAACAAGACGTGGAAAATGTTAGGTTAGTGAGCATAAATCAACAATAATAATAGCGATGATTTATTCCTCTCCATACTACACTGTGTTTGACTTGATAATCAAATGAAGGTAAACAATAATATCGTTGTTTGAGACAAAAAAACTATTGCTTTGCCGTGATTATTCAAAAACAAGTTATCCATCCCGAGAATAACGAATGAAATACAGATCAAGCAATAAGTATTTGAATCTTGAAGGCTTCCCTGATCAAAACAAAATGTTCATAATTCTAATACTTAACTATAATAAAGGTGCTTATTTATACCTCCAGCATGGGTATGAAATGCCAAATCTGCCAAAATCGAACAAAATCAGGTATGCGTCTCAACCCAAATAACCAACCGTATAATGTTGTTTATTCTTGATGACGTCCAACTTTAGCTCCTAGGAACCAAATATGTTGTAATAGAAAGTCAGTAATAGGAACGTCACTATATAAGAGTTAATTTTGGTATCAATAATGGACGACTTTTGTATCGGTTGCATATTATGCAGATCAAAAATTATTCCGCCATCTTGGATGGTTTGCCATATTGGGTTTAGAATGACATCACATTACTTTTCGAGTTACCCTCAACAAGCCCTTTCAGTTGATACCCATATTGTAGAAGTGCATTGAAAATATAACTATTCTGCTATCTTGGATGGTCCGCCATATTGGATTTAGAATAACTTCACACACCTTATCGTGCATTGTCATCCAAATTAAACATGTATACGAAATTTCAGCTCAATCGGTTGAAGATATCTACTTCAAAATTGAGTTCAAAGATTCCACCCGACCTAACATACATACATCCATGCATTGCAAGTTAAATAAAAGCTTTAAAAAAATAGACCCGTTCCAGAAGTTTTCTCAGAATCTCAGAAATGGATAGTTTGGCTGGAAATAAAATTCAGTACTTTTCGTATATTATGATATTTCATGGCACTCTACAAGATAATTTTGTTTCATTTACTAACCCAAAAAGCCTTTACCCCTAACCGCCTAACCAAAAAAAAAAAATTGACGCCTTTAACGGGTTCCAAATTAGGAGGGTTTTGCGAGTGGAAATCGCACACACTGTATATCGTATTATTCATATTCGATTAATTCGGTAAATAATCCCGTTTATCTTCCTTTTCAATTATAATAAAACCGCATTTCTAAACGACATAGTTGCGTGTTGCGTGCCTGTCCTTATGTTTATTCGTTATGTAAATACAATAAACACGTTTGTCCCGAGGGGTGCTTATTTTATCCTGAGATATTTATCGCTTACATGGGTTGTGTTTTGTATTTTGATAACGAATACTGGAGTACTTGATGGCAGTGATAAAACGGCGAGAAAAATAACATTAGGGCAAGTGTTTGCTTCAAGGAAATAGGGCGGAATTCATCAAATTAAACTTATCCAGATTGGTACACGTACTGGGTGCGCCTCTTGAAATGGAACCCCTGAGTAAATGTTGAATAACAAAAGTGGTTCGAAGCGACCCAAACTCTCATTTCAAGAAGTTGCTTCATATTTTCATATACAGGGTCATTCGTTTTTGCAGAAAAGACATTAACTTTGATTTTCTCAATGGAGCACCCTAAATATTTTCTGACATGTTGATAGGGACATGTGAGCCGTTTTGACCAATGATGAATAGTTTCGACACAAAAAAATCCTAAAGTTGAAAAATGTCGATTTTTCACACCCTATATCTCTGTAATCATTTCCGCTAGACCCCAAGTGTGATACATCGATGAAATCTGCTCTTCAGGGAGAATCTAAAAAGGCAATAAAATACAGAGTGTTCCATTCGAAAAATCAAAGTTGCTACTGCTTTCTAATAGAAGCGGCAACACCGCATTGTCGCTATCGGTGCGAACCTGACCCAACATAAACGCATCCCAGCATTTATGAATTACCCAAGAGGCATACGGCATCCGCGAGAAGGACGCGAACGCCACCTGAGCTATGAAAATATGTTGAAAATATATTAAACTTCGAAATTATATTCTGATTTTATGCGACTCCCAAACGTACTGCAAACTGAAATAAAATCAGTACGCTGGATTCCTCTTTAAACCAGCTTAACAATGAGGGGTCGCAAGCCATAGGGTTTTTTATCGCTTGGAGCGCACGAAAGGGAATCCCTATAATGTTCAAGAAACATCGTGCGTTCCTAGGGAGGATATAGGGACAGGAGGTAGGTATTGGATTTTTTTTGAACTTCTGGTAATTATATGTTGTTGGGAATACTTCCTCAGGCAATGAATTCCAGAGCCTAGCCATTCTATTTTTTTTTTATCGCTTGGAGCGCACGAGAGGGAATCCCTATAATGTTCAAAGAACATCGTGCATTCTTAGGGAGGATAGGGATAGGAGGTGGGCATTGGAATTTTTTTTGAACTTCTGGAGATTATATGTTGTTGGGAATACTTCCTCAGGCAATGAATTCCAGAGCCTAGCCGTTCTATGGATGCAGGAGTTTCGATAAAGTGCTGTTCGACATCTTTCGAGGTTGACAACGAAAGGGTGTGCTGACTGGGCTTGTCTAGTTGGTCTGACTGGTATTGCTAGTGCAGGGATGATAGCAGAGATTTCCGAAGAACATTTCCCGTGGAAGTATCGATAGAAAAGTGAAAGGTCGCCGACCTTTCTACGGTGTTCCAATGATGTCAAAGAGTGAGTGAGTGTGGCGTCACCCACCAGGCGAATGGCTCTTCTCTGGATGGAATCTAAGAGCATCAGCGTATGTTTTGGTGCTGAACCCCATATGTGGGAACAGTATTCTAGAACAGGCCGTATCTGCGCTTTGTAGATCATGAGAAGCTGTTGAGGTGTAAAGTAGCTTTTCGCACGGAACAAGAATCCGAGTTTTTGTGAAGCAGCTTTTGCGATGGATCTGACATGATTATCCCATGAAAGAGATCGAGTAGCTGATGGAAATACCGAGCATAGATATGGTGGGCTTGGTGGGGATGGTGGTGCCAGACATTACAATATCGGGCATACTGAGTTCCGCCTTTCTAGAGAAAATACAGGCTTGAGTTTTGGTGGCGTTGAATTCAACTAGGTTGTTGGTTCCCCAGGCTGTGATTTCAGCATGGTCTTCATTGACAGCATTGACCTGCCTGCGCCGAGTTCTTAGTTTCCTGGGAAGATATGGGAATTCTGGAAGAGAACGCAGTATGGAGGGTACTATCATCTGCGAAGCTGTGGATAGGGCAAGTTGTTACTCCCAACAGATCATTGATATGAAGAAGGAATAATGTTGGTGCCAAAATTGATCCTTGTGGAACGCCGGAATTGATGCCAATGGTATCAGACGATGCACCGTCCACCACCACGTGAAGCAATCTGCATGAAAGAAAACTCGATAAGAGATGGCATAGCTGAGGTGGTAAGCCGTATGATGGTAGTTTGTGGAGGAGTCCTTCGTGCCAAACGCGGTCGAATGCTTTCGATATGTCCAACGCGACAGCTAGAGATTCCCCGTGTTGTTCTAATGAAGCTTGCCATAAATGGGTGACGTAGGCAAGTAGATCGCCAGTAGATCTTCGGTGACGAAAGCCGTATTGTCTATCATTGATGATTCCTGAGCTCTCCAGATATTTGATAAGCTCAATATTGATGGCTTTCTCCATCACTTTGGAGATTACTGATAACAGGGCAATGGGCCTGTAGTTGTTAGGCAGGTTCTTGTTCCCTTTTTTGGGGATTGGTTGGATGAAGGAGTTTTGATAAAGTGCTGTTCGACACCTTTCAAGGTTGACAACTAAATGATGTGCTGACTGCGCTTGTCTAGTTCGTCTGACTGGTATTGTATAGTGAAGGGATGATGATGAAGCAGAGATTTCCGAAAAACATTTCCCGTGGAAGTATCGATAGAAAAGTGAAAGGTCGCCGACCTTTCTACGGTGTTCCAATGATGTCGTTTAAAAAAAAACATGTTGGGGTTGATTCTAGCTACCCCTGAAGGGTTATATTCTCCATATCGCTCGTCAAATGAAGCTGAATTCATTTAAACGTTGACGTGTTTCGCGAATTTTCAGAAAAATCATTCACTCCCCCAGTAGCGAATTTATTCCAGTTAAAGTCTCCACCCTGTATGTATAATGACAGCATATTTGAAAAATCTGACTACGCCACTAGATTCTACGTGAGAAAATTTCGAAAATTCATTGAATACCAGTGGTCCCAAAATGTAATTTCAATTTGTATCTAAAAAATGAAGCGAACTATAAGAGAATTTTGTTTGCGGTATCGTAAGTTTCCAGAAACATTTTCTAGGTTCGTAAAAACCGCAAATCTCTATCGTCAAAAATAAGTGCCCGTAAGGGCATCGAAAATGGTACACCCTCTACCCTTACCATGCACTATTCCCGATCCATCGGACACCTCGGAATGGGTCCTATCGATGTGCCCCGGATACCTCCCTGCGGCATACCCGAAGGCGTACGGTCGTGGTGGGGGTGGAGGGGTAGATATTTCCTCCCTCGGCAGCAGAAGGTTGACTTCGGTGAGAGCCAACGGTAAGAAAGCCAGCAGGAATGTCAACTAGAGCAGAAATATCTTTTTTCTACTCACATAACTAAAATGGCATTTAGCGTACGGATATGTACCACGCTATAAATGATCGATTAATAACGGATTGACGATCTGTGATTTATTCAAAATATTAAACACGTTACCATGGCAGCACGATTTCTTAAACACATTACCATGGCAACACAATTCATTAAACACAGCTTCAGTGATTCGAGACATGTCTGGCCTGTCAATTGTATTAACTGTCAACTGTTATTTTCGAATTTTGTATCAGAATTATTCAAACAATATTCGTTTGTATCAGAATTCTTCATTAAAAATATATGCGAAAAGTAGACGAAAGTGAAATCAAAGAGCATGTTCTGGTACTTGAATATCTCCAAGAAGTGTAAAAAATGAAGCATCCATCTTTGAGAACAGTTTATTTATTTTGCGCTAAGCATGAGAATAAACGTGAAACAAAGGTTAGTAAGCAATGGACTGGACACATCTACAACCAATATCACTTATACGTGTCTCGCTGGTTGCATGCAGTTAGTTGCATGTATCATGTTCTCAATTCCCATTCCTTCCGAATTATTTTGTAGGTTAGCAGGAATTGCAGGTATGTTAATGTAATTTTCGGAGTTCGTAGAAAAATCATTGTATGTAACGCGTTTATAAACTCTTCTAGACACTCGTTTATTAAACACTCGCTCCGCTCGTGCTTAAACTACTCGTTACTAAAAGGACGTTTATAACACTTGTTATATAATATACTATTTTCTACTCACATACCTAAAATTGCATTTAGCGTACGGATATGTACCACGCCAAATGATCGATTAATCACGAATCGACGATCTGTGATTTATTCGAAATATTAAACCCAGTAAACACAACACGTTTCAGAAACATTTCAAAAGTTCCCTAATACGTGTCATCTGAAACATTCCAATGTTAACATAAAGGAAACATTTCTGGAGTTCTCCATGCTATGTGAAATATTTCAGAAATATTTCAGAAATATGTCGATACATACGTCTCATATTCGTTACAAAAACTCTTTGCTTGGAATGTCTCACGTGAATCTCTAGATGTGTCATCTGAAACATTCCAATGTTAACATGAAGAAAACATTTCTGAAGCTCTCCATGCTATGTGAAATATTTCAGAAATATGTCAATACATACGTTTCACATTCGTTACAAAAAATCTCTGCTCGAAATGTCTCACGTGAATCTCTAGACGCGTCATCTGAAACATTTCAATGTTGACATAAAGGAAAAACTTCTGAAGCTCTCCATTCTATGTGAAATATTTCAGGAATATGTCACTACATACGTTTTATGTTCGTTACAAGAAATCTCTGCTTGAAATGTCTCACGTGAATCTCTAGACGCGTCATCTGAAACATTTCAATTTTAACATGAAGGAAAAATTTCTGGAGCTCTCCATGTTATGTGAAATATTTCAGAAATATGTCACTACATACGTTTCATGTTCGTTACAAAAAATCTCTGCTTGAAATGTCTCACGTGAATCTCTAGACGCGTCATCTGAAACATTTCAATTTTAACATAAAGGAAAAATTTCTGAAGCTCTCCATGCTATGTGAAATATTTCAGAAATATGTCACTACATACGTTTCATATTCGTTACAAAAATTCTCTACTTGAAATGTCTCACGTGAATCTCTAGACGTGTCATCTGAAACATCGCCATGTTTACGTATGTGAAATATTTCTCAGTTGTTATGCGTGACGTGAAACATCTCTGGAATGTTTCAATACATGTGTTTACTATTTGTTTGAAATGCATCATATTCGACGTTGCCAGGTTCATGATTCCGTTTTATTGGCTATAATGAATCACATGCTTGAGTGTGACCAATGAAGACGGGTGGTTACTCTGGCAACATCGGCATATGACAGTCCGAACCAAGCACGGCCGGCTCCGACTTGCTCCGACTGTCCAGTCCGAGAAGAGAGTGGGTGAACACAAAGACGAAGCCATTCTTTCTTTTGTTGTTCTAATTCCGGTGAAGCCATTTTTAGCGTCCATTGATATTGCCTGATGGTGGTAGTGCTAATGTTAAAAGTTAATAATGACAACTACGAATATGAAAAAGGTGAGTGGGTGAGTGGATCAAATGAATCTCAAAATTTTTTCAGGTGCTGTCAGAAAAAGGTTTGCTGTGACGGACGTGGAGTTCGAAAGATATGTAGCAGCCTGGTTCCGCCAATCTGATCTCAGGTTAGCTAGAGAAAGGGAAAATATGAAATGAAATGGTTTTTTATTATAATTCAATAAGTTTTCATAATATAAAATCCACAAAAGCTGCAGTTTCATTTTATTCGCCCTGCTTTTTTCTCCATATACCAATTGACTACATTACACATGATGTTAATTAGGGTTCACTTTCATAAGTGATTAACTTCTGTGGTAATTTAGTCTTGGTATGAACTAAAAATGGTTTCATATTCGAAATGTTCCATTATCAGCAAAAGTGAGATGTATCGGAAATGTTTCAAAAAAGTCATGTGGGAAATGTTGCAAATAGTGCAATAAGGAAATGTTTCGAAGACACTATTTGTGAAACGTTTCATGAAATGCAATAATGAAATATCTCAGAGATGTTTATGTATACTCTTTATTGAATGTTTCATGGAGATTTGGGTTGAAACATTCCAATGAAACATTACACACCCTAGGTCATTTATGGTCTCTAGAATGTCTCATAAATGTTTCGGAGTATATAGGTGAAATGTTTCATATTTCACAAAGTTTGTTTCAGGAACGTTTCAGAAACACAAAATGGTTTACTGGGAACACGTTACCATGGCAACACAGTTCATTAAACACAGCTTCCGTATCAGAATTATTCAAACAATATTCTTTTGTATCAGAATTATTCATTAAAAATATATGCGAAATGTAGACGAAATTGAAATCGAAGAGAATGTTCTGGTATTTGCATATCTCCAAGAAGTGTAAAAATGAAACATCCATCTTTGAGAACAATTCATTCATTCTACGCTAAGCATGATATAAAAGTGAAACAAAGGTTAGTAAGCAATGGACTGGACACATCTACAACCAATATCACAGAGGGACCTAAAAATGACGTCATATTTCATGACGTCTTATTGACGTTCAATATTGGACGTCTTAATGACGTCCCTACAAAGTCGTATATCCGACCAAATAAAAAAAATCAGTCGCTTTCTTACTTTTTCATCGTTTGTTAATTGTACGTACTTAATGTGTGTTTGTATATACAGTGTTTTCGTGAGTTCTGATGAACAAATTTATTTTCAGCCAAATTATGCATTTTTGAGGAATCTCCTGAAAACGGTCGATTTTCATTTTCAATTTGCCATATATTCATGAGAAAAATGGAATATACATGCATGGTGATCCACGTTTGAGTTATATTATTATATTACTCAATCTTTGGAATAAACCATGGGAAGCGGAATTCTAAAATGTTTAACACAATCATGTGGATTGTATGCGTCCAATAAATTAGATGCTCTCGCGTGAAGTAGTGGATAAATTCATTATTATCCAATATCTATCTATCTCATATATTTCTGAGAAAACAGGAGAGGCTTTTATTTCTAATTCGACATTTATACGGAGGAATCATCAAATATACAGGATGATAAACGTTTGTATCATGACGTACACGACACATTTTTCAAACGGATATATATTATCGAATTTTCGTAATCAAATGTATATCACACAAAGGGTTTGCATCCAGGGCGTTCGTTAAATTCAGTTCTCTCGTAAAATTAGATCACCATTAAAATATAAAGATGACGTAATTTCTCCTACACGAATCATTCTGTATATATTGATTTAATATGAGATAAAGCTTGAATGAAAATAAAATTCTACGGCTTCGAGCATTATTCTCTGAAAAAAAATATATATTTTTTTAATTTTCAACAAATTTATTATCAGCAAATTCGCAAAAGAACTCAATCCAACGAACGCACTGTATACAGACTCATATATTTTTGAATCCAGCTTTTCATAGAGACTCCAAAAATCGAATAATTTATAGGGTGTTCCTTTGAAAAAATGGTCGCGGACGTTGTAACTCTAACTTGAATCACCCTGTATATTCAATTTTCTCTCAATAATGTAATTTGAAATGAAAATCGACCTATTTTGGGAGATTCCTCAGCAAGGAATTGTATGGTTATAAGTACATTGATTGGCTACTTTATTTACTTCACGCGAGATTACTCAATTTAACGGACACACTGTATACAAACCCTATGTGTAATATATTTTTAAATTCAGATTTTTATGGATACTTCAAAGATTGAATGTATCTTATATAGGTTATTATTGTTTTCAATTGAAAAAATTGCCGAGGACGTCCTAACTTAAACGTGGATCACCCTGTATATATATGATTCTTACTTTCAAATGTGGCAAATCGGAAATGAAATCGACCTGTTGCAGAGGATTTCTCAGAAATGGATAGTTTAGCTGAAAATAAGTTTATTCAGCATTCATCTCGCTGACGCTCGCTACATAATTTTAGGTACAAATACGAGTAGCTAACGATATTGTAATATAGGGATTCATAGGATTCAACAGGACTGCCCGGGAGGACCATCAACCAAGTTACCACAACGTATAGTTACAAAATGAATGTCATCAAAGGTTTGTATGTATTATCATGTACCAATAATACCGTATATATATAAAAACCTCTAAATTTTTTTTATTTCGTCCTTTATTGGTCATTCTGCGACGTCATTATGACGTCAAAGTATGACGTCATATGGCTGTGACATTTTGACGTCATTATAGGGTCTCTCAGACGTCATTTTTGGACGTCCACTTCGTCATTTTATGACCAAAAAATGACGTCAATTGGACGTCATTCTGCTACCTGGGGGACGTCCTAAAGACATACGCATCGGGAATTTGGGACCTCCATTTGGAGTACGGCGAACGTCTTTAGGACATTCATAGGACATACAATGTTATAAAGTTAGAGGTACCTAGGACGTCCGATTTGGGTCCGTTTCAGGTCTGTTTCGGGACTCAGATCGATTTTCAAATGGAATGATAACCAATGTTGATTATTTTACCACCATGATCAATATTTAATTGAATTGAAATTTTAAAAATTTAAACTCAGCAGATTTTACAAAATTAAATGAGTACTAGTTTATTCACATAAGTAAATCGCGCGACAAGCTTTCATGATCATATAAATGTTGTATAATGAGGTTATGAGTTGATAGTTAAAATTATAAAGGGACGTTTTATTTCATTCTTTTTAGAGCGTTTGAATAAAAGCTTTTCATGAACATTTTTATTTACTTTCAATTTATTTCAAATAAACAATCTCCCGCAAGTTATTCAGTCTGTTTCTATTTAGTTGGGCAACCCGGTTTGAAACAATCACCTGAATGTATTATTATGTGGGTGAAGGTGATACACGAAAAGAAAAATGACGAACAGATGTTCAGAAGCAAACCACAAATCGAATCATGCCTTGTACATTAGTTTCTATGACATGATTTATCATAACCGAGGGAAAATGAAGCTCTATTGGAAATTATATAACGGAAATAACTCACCGATTCCATCTTCAATTAGGAGAACAATACGAGTGTAATTGCTTGTAAGAGAAACCACAATTCAACAATTGATTGGCACGTCGAATGGCCAGAAATGCTAGTGAAAGTATTCTTCGGGTCTACAAGAAACACAACACGTTTTCGGTTTCCCAAACATTTATTTCACTCGATATGTAAGAGGTATCAATTTTATTGATGGAAATACAAGGCCCCACTTGTTCCATTGCTGTTGTGGTTATGCAAATTCGATGAGACATACAAAACCTGAGATAATATTCAACGAATTAGATAAATTAACAATTTGTTGGGTTACGTCATTTTATGGAATTATGATCGTGATGATTTTGATGGCCTCTCATCTCTCATATTGTTCTCAAGGATCTGCAAAATAA